AAAAAAAAAAAAAAAAAAAAATCATGACACATCTGTGTACATTTAGGCAATTTGGCAAGGTGTAAGAGATGAGGTGAGAGAAAGGCAAGGCAGAAGTCTCAGTTTTATCTTTAGTGGGGAGATGGTAACAGATTTGCCTTTCTAAAAGTTGTCTATGAAGGTGTGGAAGATGAACCATCTTGTCTAGCTGTGGGGACAGCTAGACAAGAGGCTATCACTCTAACTCTGAAAGCAGAAGGGACTAGGTCAACACAGAAACAATGGAAATGGTAAAGAGAATAGAAAGCACAGAGCCGTGTAGAAGGGGACCTTTAGTTGCGTGGGGTAAAAGTGAGGGAGGATATAGACTGGACTCCCAGATTTCTGAGTTAAGGAGCTGGGCAGATAGTGGGGTTGTTCACTGAGCAGGGAACCCCAAAGGAAAAGCAGGTGTGAGGGGAAAGACAGTGGGGTCAGGCTTAGGCACACTGAATTCCAGATGACTTTGGGTCACTTACCTGGAACTGTCAAGTAAGAAAACATATGGGTCTGGGGCTTAGCAGTACAACCTCATGAAAGATAGAATTTGGTCACTGAAGCCGTGAATTGAGTAAAATTGACCTAGAGAGAATGTAGAGTGTAGAAGTAGAGAGTGAAGAGGGCCAACGACAGAACCCCGGAATTGCAGCTTTAGCAAGATCTCAGAAGAAAGGAAGTAGGAGACCAAATGAAGAGGAGAAACATTCAAGATTTGAGGAATAGCCAACATAACAAAATGGTGCCCTTGGGGAATTAATAGCCTGGCTGGTAAATCACTGCATCTGTAGGTAAAGAAATGAGTTGGGAAAGTTGCCCATGACTGCCCTTGATTAAGTGCCTAAGAAGATATAGACAGTTCTTAACAGAAGTAAGAGAAAAGAGGGTATGGAGTTGACATAAAACTTGATAAAGGTGGGGCGCCTGGGTGGCGCAGTCGGTTAAGCGTCCGACTTCAGCCAGGTCACGATCTCGCGGTCCGTCAGTTCGAGCCCCGCGTCAGGCTCTGGGCTGATGGCTCAGAGCCTGGAGCCTGTTTCCGATTCTGTGTCTCCCTCTCTCTCTGCCCCTCCCCCGTTCATGCTCTGTCTCTCTCTGTCCCAAAAATAAATAAACGTTGAAAAAAAATTTAAAAAAAAAAAAAAAACTTGATAAAGGTGATGAGACTTCATTGAGCCTGAAATGTGGTTAGAAGTGAAACCAGGAGAGAGAGGTAATTTCAACCAAGAGGCCCTAAGATTTGCTCAAATCCATCCTCATGTCTGAAAAACAACTGGAGGTGGATTTTCTATTGATCATGGTCAATCAGTGTCATCTTTGAATAGTGAAGACAGTGTTTGGTTCTCTTTTAGTAATAATGCCTGTTGGTTAAACAGTATCATATAAAGTTGGGTGCAGTGTTACCTGACATCTTGTGCAAAATTAAGGAAGTCATGACAGGAAAACAATATGGCTTATGCATAGCAGATTCACTCCAGAAACACGAATGTGTCTAACTTTGTAGACATCATGAGAGTCCAATTCAATGGGAAAAGACAAGTCCTGGTTCTATACCTTCTTAATTTTATGGTAGCTAATTCTAAAATCTCTTTGGCTTGATGTAGCTGTTCCTGGCTGTAAGCTTGCAGATTCCCTGCCCCGTATTTTCTGTAGCCTCTGGTGGCTAAGCTGTGGGTTTGTGAGAAGAAACAAGAAAGGAAGGCAACTTAAGTGCCCCCACAACTATGCACCTTCCAGGCCCTTCCATCTTCCCATTCCATCCCATTGACCTCTTTCTCTTGAGACCACTTGACTTACAATGCAGCACAGGTGAATAGCTCTTCATTAACCAAGAGGAATACCTTGAGGACAGAAACAGTCAGGCATTACCTTGGGAAATAACCTGTCAGCATCTGTCTGTGCTAATCTGCTCACAATTCTGTCTTTTGTATTGTTTCCCACAGCCTACACCATATCTGCAAAGAGGATGGTACAGAATAAGGAAAAGTCATTGGAAAATCAGGTTCCAGTGCTGGCCATGCTGCTTCCCTAGCAATATGATTTTGTGCAGGCCACATAACCTCAACCAGTCTCAGTCTTCTCAATAGAATTTGAGAAGACTCAATAGACACTCAAATGAGATATTTGTGAAGGTGCCTTATGACTGCAAAATGCCATTCACATGTTAGGCAGTGGACTAAGAGTCTATCATCATAGTCATGCGGTGTGGAAGGAGAGGGGGACCAAGATTTCTTCTCGTAAATCTGTTCTGAAGACCTAGGCTTTCCATCCAATCATTGCATTCAACAAGATTCCTCCAGAGCCCCATCTCCAGTAGTCCCTATTAATCTGTTAATTTATCTTGGCTCATGGAGTGCTTGATGCAACTGAGTAATACTAAGTTAACCCCATTCTTCTCCCCTTAGCACACAGCAGAAGCCCTTAAAATCTACTCCTAAAGAAGAAAAATGGGAAACAATTTACAAAATGCTTCCTATGGGCCAGGCACTTTCTTTGCCTGAGAGTCTGTTCCACAAACCACAGACTTTTCCCACAGAGGAGAAATTAGGAAGACTTTACAGCTGAGACCAGTGGAAATGACATTTCTATTAAAAGCTGTCTGTGGCTAGATGTATCCATCCCAAGTACAAAGTTAAATGATGTAATAAACTTATTCAAAGACATAAAGCCATTACATAAAATGCCATTAAATATCTTCCACTCAGTGTTAACAAAATACAGCTATAAATCTCCTTGGGTTGTAATTCTGCAAGTCGCTGGTTCTCAGTGGGTTATACACCTGCCAGTTCTTCACTGTTAAATTCTGTTTTCAGTCCTGGCAAATGGGATGGCAGGGATGTATAATCCTTTGAGATGTGACGGTTTTCAATTTTTTCATGAATCGGGAAGTGCCCAGTTACTTCTAAGGCTGGTTACTGTCACTGTTCTCTACCTCCTGGCTAAGTGCAGTGTTGAGGACCCATAGCTCCCATAATCCACATTTTGCCCTTTCACCTGACCAACAGTGGCCCAGCCAACCAGGTTTTGACTCAGGATTCAAGGTTGGGAGCTGGCCTATCTCTGAACTTTGGGACTGTTTGACAACTTCTCACATGAAACCATGCATCTAGGGATAATGGGGTAAAATGGAAGAGAGGAGTTGAAAAGAAGAGAGCATTCTGTCTGGAAAAGTTCTGTGCCCCTTTTCCTGTGGGTTTTCACCTAAATCCCAGGCCAAGAGGAAATGCGCAAAAGATCCAGATAAGCCTCATCAAATTTGCCTAATTCTATGAATTTGTCAGAATTTCCTTTTGTGGGGCACCTGAGTGGCTCAGTCGGTTGAGTGTCTGACTTCGGCTCAGGTCATGATCTCACGGTTCGTGAGTTCGAGCCCCGCGTCGGGCTCTGTGCTAACCGCTCAGAGCCTGGAGCCTGCTTCAGATTCTGTGTCTCCCTCTCTCTCTCTGCTCCTCCCCTGCTCACACTCTGTCTCTCTCTCAAAAATAAATAAAGATTTAAAAAAAATTTTTTTTAATAAAAAAAATAAAAAGAATTTCCTTTTGCAAGGCAAGTCCTAAATCCAGATGGACCCCGTCCTTTGGATCCTCACCAAACAAAATGGCGGTAGAGTGGCAGTGAGGGCTGTGTCAGTGAAGGGGATATGAGAGAAGCTGTCAGCATTTGCCCAAGCCCTGCAGGCTGTGGGTTCTCTTCCTACACATGAGCAGTCAGACCAGATCAGAAGAAATGTTGACTCATTCCTAGACACTCGAGGCTTCTCTGTAGGGGCCCTCCTTGCTTTTACAGGTGCTAACCCCTCGCAGGGCTCTGTTGCTGTAGGTCAGCCAAGGTAGCCTCTGATGCTCTTGCTGTGCTTCTTCAGGAAACAGCATCCTCCATTCGGCAGCCGATAGCGTGACCAGCGCCGTACAGAAAGCGAGCCAGGCCTTGAATGAGCGTGGGGAGCGGTTAGGCCGAGCAGAGGAGAAGACGGAAGACATGAAGAACAGCGCCCAGCAGTTTGCGGAAACTGCACACAAGGTGGGTCCCGCCAAGGGGCAGAGGTCTCCACTCCGGGTGGTCAGGGAGCTCGGGCTCCAAGAAACTCATGTCAGTGCATTTCCCATGGTGGAAGATACAAAATCCAGCCGTTTTTTATTTGGCCTCGTTATGCAACCTGCTGTTTTAGTAAGTACCAGAATCATGAAAGATTTCTTGTACCTGTTTCTTTGTATATCTCCTTTCTGATGCCTTTATCTCTGTCTCTGACCTTGGATCTGGATCTTCGGAAAATGTGGACCATCTTTAGTTCCTTCCCAGAATTTTAGGGCTCAAGTTTCAGGGAACAGGATGGGGGGTAGGGGAGGTCAGACCTAAGAATATCCATCCTCCCTTGGCCAGTGCTGGAAAAAGGACTTTGGGCTGCTCATGCTTACTTTTCCTTGCCGTCCTTTTCCGGTCCCGGCCATGAGCCTAGCATCCTGTGTTCTTATCTCTTCACTGTATGAAAAGCAAGCTTTAGTGCACTGTGCACCTCAGGGCTGGTTGCCCCTCTGTAAGAGGCCTTGCATCTCTCAGGCTGACCTGACTCACGCAGAGCTGCCCGCAGGGTTCCTACCTGCCCTGGATCCAGGGCATGGCAGTTCCCACGTGACCACAGGCGCACACATGCACATTCACACGCTCCCTAAGAACGTGCCTTTCAGAAGGGGAAAGGGGAGTTTTTATTGGCATCCCGCTCTCTGAGGCAGTTGAAAACCAAAGGAAAGAGCTGCCGTGTTGGTCAGGTGATAAAGAGGATTTATTGCTGATCTTGTGCTTTAGGTCAAAGGGTAGTTGTCTGGCTAGGGATTGGAATTTCCAGAAACCACCTCTGCTGATAACTGTTGGCATCTCTGACTCATGCTCCAGCCTTTCAGATCTGCTTTTTAGGTGACCTTTGGGGAAAAAATTAATTTGCTTCAACAGAAAACCCCATTTCTGTGGAAGAAACAAGAACAGACAACCTGAAAAGTAGTGAGATAAGTGTCCCCAGCTGAGGCTAGCTGGCCTCTCCCAGGGGCTCATGCCCAGGCCTGACTGCGGATCCGAATCCCAGCGGATGCTTCCTGCCTTCCCTTCCTGCTTCCCCCTTGCACAGACCTGTCTTCTGTGTCATCAGGTTCTCTTTTGTGACAGGGTCTTACTGCACGCCCGTCTCGGGGGCCCATTTGGGGTTCCCTGGAGGAGAATTGGCCAGATGTGGCCAAAAATGCAGGCAGGCCTGCTGGAGGTCAGACCCTTGCTTGTCACTTGTCACAGAGAGAGGGAGCTCAGATTTAAGGTCCCTTCTCCCGCCTTTGTGATACAGAAATAATAATGAGATGGAAATGCTAGAATTCCCGCCCCAGTTTCACTTCTGTAACAACAGCAAATCTTGTGGTTTACATGGGGGATGGGCAGCGGAAGTCTGGAGAAACATTCAAAGTGTTGATTTGGGGAAGAGAAAGCTAAAGGGAATAGTTTTTTAATTGTCTTCAGTCTGGGAAGAATGTTAGTGCAGGCAGGTCTCTCTTGTCCCTTACCACACAGAAGGGAGCATTCTGCGCACTGATAACATTCTGCTCAAACCAGAGTGTAGGTTCGTGATTAGATCATGAAGCAGGTTACCAAGGAAGTCTGTGAAATCACTCTTCCTAAGGCGGAGTAGACAATACCCAGAGGTCATCCGTGTGGGCGTCCCCCTCGGAGGAGGTTGTACAAACACAGGGTTGGATAACCTGACCAGAGGGGCCACGATTCTTGGCCCTGGTCGCCCTGTTTCCTTGATGTTGTGGCCGAGCTTGCTAGGTGGTTGGGAAGGCAGTACAGTGTGGTTAACATCTTGTGTTTGATTTACCCTCCCAGTGACCTTGGGCAAGTGCCTAATTTCTCTAAGCACCAATTCCCTCATCAATATAATAAGGCTAATTAATAACAGTGTCTGTGTCCTAGGGCCTTGAGACAATTGAATGAATTCCAACTTATACATCTATTATCACAATACCTGGCACATATAAATCTAAATTAATATTGGTTATAATAATTTCCATAAAAATGGTTGTGTTGAACTTGCCCTACTGGGTCACCTAGTGACCACTGTACGGGGATAGAGAAATGTGATTGAGGACCTTAACAGAGGGATTGGGGAGGGATTGGAGAGGTTTTCTGAGCCCCGAAGTGGGGGAGGCAGGGCTCCTGCTAAATGCTAATACCTTCTAAACACAGAACAACCCTTGAAACAGGGCTTGTCAGAACAGAAACTGATTAGTCCACCAAAGGCAAAAGGGCCTCTGGCCTTGACCACTGGGAGGATCAGTGCCAGCCAGTGGCCTGTTTTCAGTAGAGATGGAAGAGGCAGGGTCCAGCGTGCCCTTGTTTTGGTTTCCCCGCCTGTGGGTGTTCTGAGGGGGGAGGTGAAGAGGTTGCTGGTATCTATTAGTGTGTTTGAGGGAGTGTGAGCGAGACACTGTCATGGCCAGACATGGTTTTCTAAATCTGGGATGTGTGCTTATGAATCACCAGCATTGGCAGTATTCCCATTGAGGAGATTGACCTCTTTAGATAAGGTGTGGCTGTTTTCCCAGGGACTAGGACTCCTGATTTAAACCCTCTGGTATAGCCTGACCGTGAAGATATCATTTCACTGGCCAAGCCCCCACCAGACCTGCTAGTGAGGAGGGTGTTCAGAGAGGGAACCCAAGCCCTTCTGCCCCAGACAGACAAACAGCTGTGTTGATTCATAAAGAGTGGGCTGCATTTTACAAGTGGAGACACGGTGCGCATGTTAGCACCCTGAGCAGACAACAGTGTCATGCACCCTGGTTGAATAAGGGCACGTAACCCCCAGCCGGAGAGTATGGCACCCTTCTCTAGATTGCAGCAAAAAGGACCTTTCTGACTTTTCCCAGGACTCCTGCAATGACCCAGGTACATTAACGAGCAGATCACCTTTGCACAACCCCACCTCCAAGATAACGTGGGTGCTTGTCTCCAGTAGAACAGATGGGAAATGCTCCTGCACCCCCTTTCCCCCAGCTCTGTTGAGCCTGCCTGGAGGAAGCGTGGTTCCTTCCTGTGAGCTCTGGACTTGGCACGGTCTCAATCACAGAGCAGGCCTGCTCACTTTCCCCTGCCCCAAAAAGCACAACATTGCAGTGCGTGCCATGCTGTGACACCCGCCACAGGCAGCGAGTCAGCAGGCAAGAGCAGCACCTGCACCTAGGCATCCTTAGATGACACGTCTACAGAAAGGAACAGTGATCTGCCCTGTTTTGTACAAGCTCGTGTTGGGGTGGGGGAGGGAACAAGCGGTAAGAGGTACTTCTCTCACTGGCAGGGACTGGCTGCCTCTATCCCTGCTACAGTCACCTGGTCCCTCTGGGCCCCTGAACCAGAAGCAACCTCAGGAGGCCTCTTAAAATCCCCTCCAACCAAGTGCAAGTAATTTATTTTTATTATTTAGATGGAGTAATCTACACAGCTGTGAAAGAGAAAGATTTCTGTGGGATATTAAGAAAACAAAATACACCAAAAGGAAATTGTAAGCTCATCTTCTGTAGGAACTCTACTATCTAAACTGACCCATAAGCATTTGAGTTGGAGAGAATATTTCTAAACATAAGGAGACTGAGGTATAGAGCAGCTGTGACTTTAGGGCTCAAGGTCATTCAGCAGACTTGTAGCAGAGAAGCAACAGCACCCTGCCTTCCATGTTCCAAAACTTCTAACTCCCAGAGAATTTTAAAAAACAATGAAAGGGGCGCCTGGGTGGCGCAGTCGGTTAAGCGTCCAACTTCAGCCAGGTCACGATCTCGCGGTCCATGAGTTCGAGCCCCGCGTCAGGCTCTGGGCTGATGGCTCAGAGCCTGGAGCCTGTTTCCGATTCTGTGTCTCCCTCTCTCTCTGCCCCCCCCACCCCGTTCATGCTCTGTCTCTCTTTGTCCCAAAAATAAATAAATGTTGAAAAAAAAAAAATTTTTAAAAACAATGAAAAAAAAAAAAAAACACGGAAATGGTGCCACTTTCTGCAAAGACACTGCAAATAGTCAAATATCCAATCCAGCCATATTTCTACAATGCTGTGTTGGCCACGGCCTCACCTGGGTGGGGCTCCCTTTAGCGCCATCCCAGATGCCCTAGTAGTCACCAGGGCCTGGTGCAAACGGCCATACAGTTGTTGCTGAAGATTGATGACTGGGGGTGAATTGGCACAAGCCTATTAGCTGAAGGTTAACAGCTCAGTGAATAACAGGACAGCAGCACTGATCAAATATTTATGTTTGGTATTCATTATGCACAACACTTAACAACTCTGGTTGATTTGAATGGTCCACGTTGCTAAATAATGTATTAAAACTAGAGACGGAGTGAGAAGCGGAATCCGTACCCCGGAGGGGCGGAGCGTGGTGGGGCAGTGGAACAGATCCGGAGGAGAGCCACGGGACTATAAACTCTTCAGGTCCAGGAGTTATTAGCCACCTCCACCCTTCTTGGCAAAAACCCACAGCACTTAGCACCGCGGCGGCCCCACACTCACAAATACCATCTGACAGTGACGGACTCGGTGTCTGCACTGCAGAAGGTCCATGGGGGCCTCTGTGGAGACTGGCATCACCAGGCAGAGAGGCACAAGGAGGTCTTTCAGCTGAGGTGAATTTAGCAGCACGAAGGCCTGGGTCCACAGGTCCCTTCTGCATCACATGCTAACGTGGTCCGGTACACCTGCTGCAAGGGAAATGTCCACTGCATCTGCAGGTGACCTGAAGTGGCAGCCCCAGGGCCGGAGAAATCCAACCCTCCTCGTTGTTGGAGACATCAAAGAAAGGGAAAGAGAGACTTATGCTGCCCTGGGTCACACCGGAGAAATGGGTCATTGACACCGTTCAGATTGATGGATAGCACTGCTGTGTGGAATCAGGCAAATCCCCCTGCTAATTCTTCAAGGACCGAGAACCTGGTCATGATGCAGATGATATGGCTTTCTACAAAGTTCTTGCCTGCCAAAGAATCACCTGCTGTTTGCTCAAAGACAAACCCTGTCCTCTACTTCCAGTCGCAACCCCAGAGATTAATCCCTAATACCAGATTCTGGACACGTGCGGAATTACAGTTCAGGCTCAGCTCTGCCTTCTGGTTCACGTCAGTTTATGGGCTCCTTGGAAAGGATCAAAGAAAAGCAAAGTCAGATTTAACTTTATGTTCTGTACCTGCCTATATTTCCTTAAGTATATCATCACGCGTTCTAGCTGAGCTTGGGAAGCTACTGAATGATACAGTAGTATTGGTGTTCCCATTTATAAAGGTCTAACATTTCAGCAAGCCACATTTCTCAAATACTAGTAGGCTTTCGCTTCTCAGCCTTTTGGCTAAGATCAAATGTCAAATGCCAGTGGGAGTAGCAAATGAAGGTCTGGGTTTGGTGTATTGTTCAGCCCTAGTCAGTAACACTGCTTCCTGGTCAAGTGCTTTCAACTTGGTTAAATGTCCAGGCTAGATACTGAGTGGATTAATGCAAACTGTTTCTCTACAGTTGATTTTTAATACTCTTTGAGGTTATCAGTCCATAGGTACATTTGAGGAGTGTTGGTTTTCCTGGATAACTAGTAATGCGGGAGCACAAAGGCCTCGGTTCCTCCCCCCCACTCCTCCTCGGTAGGTCACTCACTCTGCCTGTGCACTGGCTATTCCATTTACTCCCGTGGAATGAAGGAAAGCCACATAGCATGCTCTCCCACCAGGACACATACACCAATGAAACTACTGTTAAGGAGGCGTCCCAAACACAATGCCCAGTGGACTATTTGAGAAAATGTTGCACATTTACTAGATGTCACTGTGCATAGTAAGGTGATCTGCCACAGCAAGTGAAACCTCGGTACTGTCTCTCAGCATGGATTTGGGGAGGGAACAGCACAAATGCCTAACAATGCCTTACTCTGCCACCCCTGTCTCTCCGTAGCTCGCCATGAAGCACAAATGTTGAGAAGCTGCCTATCTGGGTGATGACCCTCTTAAGAGAAATGGAAGAGCTCAGCGGTTTTTACAAGAATTCCAGACCTCTGCTTGCTTCTTTTTTTCCAATATATGGACTTAGGTTTTTTTGCTTTGCCTTTTCAGATGTTAATATGAAAGAATAGATGTTGTGCTGATACATTTCACTAATGATTGTGCTAAGAAAGGCTGCAGCAGGCATCAGCTTCATTTGGTTTTTGTTTTTCTCCACTGTGTGTATATATGTCTTTAGATGTGTTTTCTCTTTTTTTGTTTTAAGGTGGGTTTTTTTTTTTTTTTTTGGTAGTTTGAATATAAAATTAGGACCAAATGATATCCAGAGTTGGGTCTAAACTGACAACATGTATTCTTTTTTTCTTGATATTAAGGCAGAGAGGTGTGCCTGGCTGGCTCAGTTGGTAGAGCGTGCAACTCTTGATCTCGGGGTCATGAGTTCAAGCCCCACATTAGGTGTAGAGCTTACTTGAAAAAAATTGTGATATTAAGCCAGAAGACCTTTTAATATGGTAACATGAGATATTATTGTTCCTAGATGGAAATCAGAGTCAAGCAGTGATTGGTCTCTCCGTCTCCTAGCCGCTCTTAAATTTGAAGGTTAAGATTCTATATCTTGAAACAGAAGTCTGTATTATGGGAAACATTTGGATTTATCGGGGGAAACAGCAGTCTTAGATTTTCCTTTTTATGTAGTAATTTCTTGCATGAGCCATCACCAGCACTCAAAAAAACCAAATCAGAATGACAGAAATCTACTTTCTGAGCTACAGTTTAGGTATTTCTAGTACTTGTTTCCAGGCTGATTATTTGCAATTATCATATGAAGGGTAAAAATTTGACATTAAAGGCCTAAGGAAAACCCTATTGAAAAACTTCTGTACATTCATAGATGTCTCTTTCTTTTGTCATTGTCCCAAATTACGGCAGCCAGTATTGAAAAGAGCTTGGATTTTTATCAAGAATTGATTTGTCTAGATAAAGGTCCGTGTAAATGATAACGTGAAAAGATACTACATTTAAAATCTCTTTTCTTTTTACAAAGTCATGCCAATTTTAGAAACACCCTCACAATATCCTTGGGAAATGGCCTTCGGTTTCATGGTATCTGATTTTTGGAGGTTTTGATGTTGTTATTGCTATCTATTTATTTAATGTAATTTAAAGTGTGGGTGTCTTGACAAATTGTATTTCATGGCAATTGCAACTTGCCTGGTCTGACATAAAACATGATCATGAAGGCTTTACACTGCAGTCAGATTGAATAAAGTTGGTTCACACACCTCCTGATTTTGTATTACTCCAGGGAGTGCTGGGTTTAGAGTCTGGAGTTTTGTTTCTTTAAGGGTTTAATGTTAAATATAAAAGTTGTGTTTTGTCTTCATGAAACAAGGAAGCAAGCACACCCCAGACACAGTCCCAGCCTCCCACTGCAAGGGCATTGATTTTTAAGCTGCCTGAATCTTCAGGATCCCTTTCTGTTCCTTTCTACCCATTGAGCCGATTGAGTCTATGTATATTGTAGCCTCTTACACAGCAGCAGATGACGACTTTGGAATTATTTATGCTGATTTAAATAGCTTAAGTTCTCCTGATAAAGCATTCCTGGGAGACAAAGTTGGGCTTTGGGGGCAAAAAAATTTATCTTAGACTGTATGTGTCAAAAGGGAGATGGGATTTGCCAGACACAAATTTCTGACTCCTCTTAGGAAGATGATCCAGTTCAAGAAAATTCTCTGTAAAATTAATATGGTAAACTACATAAGTTTAGTACAAGTTTTGTGCTTTTCTTCCAGTGTCTAAAAAGTTCAAAGAAGCCAGGAACCTTCTATCTGATGAGCACCATTTATAATTTCTAAGAAAAGCCCAACGAATCACTCCAAACAGGTTTTGTTTGCAGACCTCAGCTCAGGAAACACACATACACACAGATCTATTCATCTTCCAAAGTTGGATTCTAGCTAGCTAGTTGGTATAAATAATTGAAAGGGTAAATCTAAAACCTCCTGACAATTGGCCAAACTCAAAAATAAATTTGTTGCCAAGTATCTAACAAGAGTGTTTGCAGAGCTGCTTCTAAAGGAGCAGAGGATGAGGTCATAAGCATACTGTGAAATCTGAGATTCTTCCTCCCCAGTAGAATTATGATAGCCACTCTTCCTAAATGTAGGTATTCCACATCGGGCCCTCCAGCTTCACTCCCTGTTTATCCTTTTAGACTTCAGCCTTGCCGGAAATAGCTTGGATTAGAACGCCTATCTGGGTCTTTATTAGCTTCCCCTATTGATTTGCTTCCAGGCCGTGGCCATGCCCTTGACCTCCCTGGGTCAAAGCCCTACCTAGGCCTCCACCTTACGAGAGGCCAGGACCACAATCCCCTGTCTTTCCTCTACCTCCTGACCTCTGTCAGAGCTGCCCTGTGATGACACATGTGAAGTGCTTCGCTATCCTCTTGTAGAAGGTGCTGCAATACAAAATATTAATACAGTCTAGCCTAGAGAAAATTGCTAATTCGTCACGTTGTTTGGGACCAATTTGTTGGGTTGAGCTGCTAGAAGACCGTTTGTTTCATTTCTGCACTCCATTTTGGGACACTTTCTTTCTGTGAAGGAGTTCTTCAATTGTACTGACAACACATAAAGAAAAGCTCCCCAGTATTACTGCTTCTTCCTGGAACATAGCTGTAGTTTTCTTCACTAGTATTAGATATCTGTATGCAGGATGCATCCAGTTGTTCAGGTTAATGTTTCATATTAAAGAATGTATTTGTAAAATGTAACAAGATCAGTAGTGAACTTTTTTTAAGCTCTGAAAAAATAAAAGATTGTGTTAGACTTAAAATTACAGTGAAATCTGTCTTAATACTTTTGTGGCTAACAAAGGTTGTGAATTTATGTAAAAATATTTACAGAATGCCCTAAATAAGGGATAATAAAGATAGGTTTTGCTTTTCAGTTTTTAGAATCGTAACACCGCGGCTGTCTGTTGTGCAGTTATTAATTCTTCAGAAGTTTCTCTAGGATGTCAAATATAATTTTTGTTTCTTTCAGAGACAAATAACACCTGCTCTATGATTCACGATTACAGTAAGCTCTCATTTTGTCATTAAATATTTTAACTCTGTGATGAAAGTTTGTTTTTCTCAATTATTTGTCAAATCTATAAAACACAACCAAATAGGCAGGCATCATCATTCATTCTATGCTGTGGGGAAGATCCTGTGGGCCTACGGAAGGCTAATTCTAATTCTAGCTCTAGCATAATGGTAGCGTTTCCTTATATATGTTCTAAAGGTAAAACCTGAAATGTGTAAAAGTCAAAAGAGCTAACCTTACTTTAGACCATTAGCTTCTATCCAGCAAGAGTCTTTGGTTTTTTTTTTCTTCTCACGGGCAAAGGAATTAAGCCAATGAACAATTACCTTTCTGCTGATCCTGGTGATGTTCTCAACTCAGATACTCATTTACAGCCTGGGCCCTCATTCAGCAGACTAGTTTCATGCCCTATTAAATTGGAAATAAGACTTGATCCAATTATGTCGATTTACTCTTATAGAAATAAATACCACATCACCCGCTTGTTTTCAAGGGAAGTGACTTGGGTGACGCTGTACAGAGCAGCCCTCTGGGTTGGCATGGACAGGTGCTAAAGCAGGCAGGACTTTGAAGTGTTTCCTGGATGGAAGGGCGAGACTGCAGTCTCTACTTTTCAGAGAAGACAGGACAGAGAGATGGCTTGGCTGGATGAGGAAAGCAGCCTTAATTATGTAGTTAAAGGCCCCAATTCTTGCAAACTCATTATAAGCCCATTGCTTTGCAATAGTGATCTTTTTTCTTAATATAATTTGTATTTGCTGGCAATTCCACCACCATTAATTCTCAATTTGAGGGGAGGATGAATATGGTAAGCGTTTTTTAATCTAAAAAATAATACTAAAAAGATAAAAAATCTAATGGTGCCCTCCCCCTGACTGTGAGTGAGGACATGCTTAGGAAAAACTATTGACCCATCATGATCATCTGCCTAAAGAAGCAGATTGAGGGCGGGGAGTGAGGGAGGCAGAGAGAAGAAGAGTGGGGGAAAAAGATACCAAAAATAAATTTCAAACAGAGATGCAAATGTTTGAGTGTTATTTCTGTTGATATCCATTCTGGGTGCCTGGCAGAGGTGGGCCTGGGTGGTACCTTGATGTACGTTTGCACATTCCACATATGCATGCTCACAACTGACAGCAAGAAAAGAGGCTGTGCTCCTATGTGCCCCTGAAATCACTCCCACTTTCTTGCCCTTCTGGACTGGTGAGGTAGGTGCCAGTATTTCCCGGGTCAACAAAACCAGAAAATGCCTCAGGTGGGCCATTGTCAGTGTATGAGATGTAAAGACTTAAGAGACATGGAAAAAGAACAGATCTCTGCCCCCCCCACACAAGACAGATCTCACTTATTCTATAAATGTGAATGTACTAACAGCCCTATTGTAACAAGATGGGGCAAACTATGGATTTTCCTTTGATTTTCTTTTTGAACATCCAGGAATTACCATACAAAGTGATTTTGCATAGCCAGAGCCAGCCTGACACAAAAATTCGGCTTCATTTTTACCTCCTACCAACCTCTCTCCCTTCCATGCCCTTCACCTTGCTGTCCCTTTTTAAATCCTGCTTCAGCTAACTATTCCTCTGCGGTAAAGTGCTGGCTCACGGTGGCTTAGGGCAGTCTCCCCCCGGGCTGCCTCACTGTCACCTGGGAAGCCACTAGAAATGCACACATTTTACTCCCAAACTTGCCCTCTTGGTGTCCCTGGCCATCTTGTGTTTTGCAAAGAAAAGCGAAACTACCTCAGAAGGCTTCGGATGACGGCACCTGGCTTCCCCAGATGCTTAATGGGTTTAAACCAGCAAATTAAAGCTGTCAAGGAAATTAAATGTACTATGCATTTCAGCTCAATTACTGCTATAATGTAACCTCCTGCCTTGAC